CACGCAGGGCCCTCCATCCAAAGATTGCCCCCGAGATAGCCAGCAGGCCCCAGGAGAAGCCCCCAGGAGGCCCCCGGATGCCCCAAGAGCCCCCCAGAAAGCCCCGCAGAAGCATCGAAGAGGACCCCACGAGGCCCCCAAGAGGCGCCCCCGTAGCCTGCTGGTGGAGCGGTGCTTGGCGTGCCGAGTTAAAGTATGCTTGGCCCTCCGACCAAGAACCCGATACCCGGCGGTCCCACCCGCCGACCCGCCAGAAAAAGGCCTACAGACGCAACTACACGCAGGGCACTTTCCGTCCGTGGCCAAGAGGAGGTCCAAGAGGACCCCGATCGTCATGAAGTCCAAGGTGGGACCAGTTGCCTCCAGGACGCTACGCAGACGACCAAGATGGTCCTCAGAGGGTCCAAGAGGCTCTCTTGTATGTCTGTTGGACCGTCTTGGCCCTCGTCGGCCCAGGGGGCCGTTTCACAGGAAAGCAATTCTGTTCGCACGTGTTTTAGATTCTCGCAGATTCGATCTTACGAACGTCCAAGACGGCCACACAGGCAAGCCACACAGGCCACACAGACAAGCGCAAGACACCCCGAATAGGCCCCAGGAGAACCTGAAAACAGCCCTACGACGGCCCAGGCGAGCACCAAGACGGCCCGAGAGAGCCCAAGAGAGCCCCAAGACGGCCCTGGATGGCTCAAGACGGCCTGTAGACGGCCCAGGGAGGCCCCAAAGATTGTCTCCGAAGGTGTCAGACGGCCTAAGAGCGCCCCTAAGACGGACCCAGAGAGTTCCAAGAGGCCCCCGGTGGGGCCCGGGGCAGATGTCCCTCTTCCTTCCTCTCCCTCCTCCTCCTCCTCCTCCTCCTTCTCCTCCGCCTCCTCCCTCTCCTCCTCCTCCTCCTCCTTCTCCTCCTCCTCCTCTTCCTCCTCCTCCTCCTCCTCCTCCTCCTCCTCCTCCTCCGACTCCGACTCCGACTCCTCCTCCTCCTCCTCCTCCTCCTCCTCCTCCTGGAGTGATGACAAAACTGCGATTGGAGGTTTTTCGCTCTGTTCGGCCTGTGGGGGCCCTTACCGGGCATCGGGACCGTCACGGAACGGCTCAGTACGAGAAGCCGGTCCCGGGGAAGGGGCCGAGGCCTTTGGGAGTCGATGTTAGGAACAAAATCATGACATCGGGGGTCTAGGGAGACCAGGAGGACAAAACCACACAGACACAATTAATCGTGGACTCCCAGGGAAATATGGGAAAATATGGGAAGTGGGGGGGGGAAGACGAAAACCCAGAATATATATATATATATATATATATATATATATATTTAAAAAAAAAAATGGGGGATCCTGGGAGTTGTGTCGATCATTTTGTGTCCCTGGGCCTCCTCGGGAGAGAGCTCCTGGCCTCCAAGAAGACTCAAAAGGCTCGAAAAGAGCCCCGAGAGAGCCCCAAGACGGCCCCCCCTCAGCAGTTCCCCAGCAGTCTCCCTGAAGTGCTGCGGGAACACGCAGCCCCCCAGCGTGGCCACACTTTCGCTCGACGTTGCACGACACAGGCGCTCTCAAAAGACAGGTTGCGGCGGTGACTCGCCGTGAGGCGTCGTCGATCACTGTGAGCATCCTGTTCGCCTGCGCCGCTGAAGGTGACGACTACAGACAGTTCGACCAAGCGCGCCTGCGGCGGAAAACCGATTTCGCGTACCGGCCCTGCTACCCCAACCAGCGCCTGCCTGACATTACCCGTTATCGGGAGCGGGAGCATGTGGCGTCGCCAAGGGGCGCGAATCGGCCTCAACTGGCCATAGCCAAATCTGCCCATTTGGTAGCGCAAGCTCCACGATGACCGGGAGAGCGTCGCGAGTGCCTCCGCGCGCACTGCCGCACATACCGCGAGAGGCACGACTTCTCTGCACGCAGCAAGACCATTCGCGGCGAAACCAGCCGCAACTGTTGTCATCCATTGATAAGCACGGGCGAGGGCTGGCGCAAAGGAGACGAGTTGAGCCAAAGTGGCTTGAGACAAAGAGCACAAGTACAAAGCAATTCTGAGCCAGCAGGCTTCGAGGGATTTCCAGGGGACTGCGTCGCCTCTGGGAGCCCCCGGCGACGCTCCAGAGACCCCCCTGGGCGGCAAGCCGCAGGGCCAGGGGCGCGAAAGTATTCGCGCTCCGCGGCCTTTTGGCGGCGCGCACAAGGGGGTGGAGGGAGGGGGGAGGGCTTCTTGGACGGAGGCTGCTTCTTAGAAGGCACCGGCCTCACATCTACAGATAAGGCCCGCGCCATCTAAGAAGCAGGGGTGCTTCTATAGAGGCTTCCTAAGGAGGGTCCGAGTAGATGGGGTCGGAGGATATCGCCGCATCGCCGATGCATCGCCGATGTATCGGCGATGCGGCGGCCATGCACTGGCGACGTCGGCGATACATCCGCGACGTCGGCGTGGAGAAAATTGGGCCCCACATCGAGCCGCATCGCCGATGCATCGCCAATGCATCGGCGCTGCGGTGCGATCCTCCGACCCCATCTACTCTGACCCCATCCACCAAGTGCTTATCCTGGGCTGCCCGCAGGCACCTCCCAAGTGCCCTTCCCAGGCGCCCGCAGGCACCTCCCAAGTGCCTTTGCCTGGGATGCCCGCGGGCACCTCCCAAGTGCCTTTCCTGGGCCTAGATTCTGAGAAGGCCTCCCCCCTCCCCCCACCCCCGTCTGCGCGCGGCTGAGCCCTGGCCATCGGGCGTTGGTAGAACTGGGTTTAGTGGAATCTGGTCTAGTGATCTGTACCGGGGGCGCCCCCCCGCCCCATCTCCACTAACCAGAACTGCCGTCACCCGAAAAAACACCAGCTATGGCAGACCTTGTTTAGTGATTCTGGCCGATTCGATGGCTCCGGGGCCCTACCACTGACCGGGTCCCCTTACCCCGGGGTCCTGGCCATACCCGAAGAGAGGCGGCCTCCGTGCGGGCGGCGGGAGAGGGCCCCGCGAGGCGCGCAGCTGCCCAGCTAGGCGACCTGGGCCTGGCGGCGGGCAGCCTGGGGAAGGTGGCCGGGCGGAGGGCCCCGGCCTTCTGGGAGGGCCTGCCATGAAGTCGGGCATGTCCCTCTACAGGAGCAATACTAGAAAATAGTCACAAAATAGTCTGAGTTTTTTTGGCAACCAAACAAGATAGATAAAGAAAACAAGTATTCGTTGTTAAGATTGTGTTTGGAATATCTTTCCGGTATCTGTATTTTTCGTCCCAAACCCGCCTGTAGGGGGACATGCCCGACCTAAGACTGCCAGAAGGTGCGAGGCGCACTGCCTGTCGACATCGCCGGCCGACTCTGAGAAGACCTCTGCCGGCTCGGCAGGCCCCCCTCTGCAGTCGCGGGCGGAACAGGCACGCACCTCACTGGCCTGCGCACCTCGCTCGGCACTCGGGCATCCTGAAACCTGGTCCTCTACCTCCAGCTGCCGCTCCATCTCTTCCTTCTCCACTCCCTCCTCCTTCTCCTCCTCGTCCTCCGTCTCTCACTTGGCACGGTCGACGTACTGCGATTCGGGTCACCCGCTCGACTTGTGGTCTGACCACGCGACTCCAGATCGAATACGCTGCTCTTTTGCTGGGCGCTGTTAGCTACGTTTCGAGCCCCATGGTCGTCGCTCTCTTGAGCCTCACGATGGGCCGAAGGGCTACGGACCGACACAACCACCCCGTGAAGATCAGACTGGTCTATGACTCGCACCACCATCCTGGGCACCTCGTAGAGAAGGAAGAGATGAGCCGGCGGATCTATAGCGAGCGCGCTGGACTCTGCGAGCCCAAAGGAAGACATCATTCAAAGACTTCCGACGCTTGGAAAAGCTTGAACCTTTGGGGCCTCTGAGCTATCGACCCTTTCGACAGGTCCTCCTCCTGGGGCTACTACTCCTCATCACCCTCCCTCGCGGTCGGGTCACCACCGCTCGCGCGGCGGCCATCATCATTGGAAACGGCCGCCGCCGCCACAAACGTGCACCGGTCTATCTCCTCTCGTTCCCGGCATGCCCGAGGGCTTTCAGATCTGGGGCGGCACGCACTGCCTCCCAGCGGATCTCGACCACGGCCCCGCAAGTCTGCGAGGCCGCGCCAGTGTCAGTGTCTCGGAGTGAAGCCGACGGCATACGCATTAGGTCGGGCATGTCCCGCCAGGCGGATTTGGGTGAAAAATTAGAACACCTCAACAGTGCACCAAACTATTCAACATATACCACAAATAGTCCCCGGACTATCTTTTCCTATTTTTGGATATACCTCCTTCAGAGGGATAGGCCCGACGTAACACCAGCAGGGGGGCGCCAAGCGATGCGACCCGGGAGGGGGCTGGGCACAGCTGGGCCGTGGCCGCCAGAGCGCGGCTCTAGAACGCGAGCCCCTTCGCCGAAGGCAGGGGCGAGGCCCCACGGAGACGTTCAGAACGAAGGGCACCCAGGGGCGGAGAGCCAAAGCTCGGACAACGTAAGGAAACCTCTCCAAAACAGTGGTTGTCTTTGACTCTCGCTCCAGCTGCAGACCATGGTCGAGTCCAGCCAGAATCCAGAGCAAGGCCGCACGGCGAAGATGCGGTGCACTTGAGCGACGCAGAAAAACGGGGTCGTCTTCACCGACATTCGCGCGCGAGCTGCCCACGCAATGTCGTGCCTAAGCGCGCCCGTTTCCAATGCAGCGTGCCGCGCTGGGCCCGCGGAAGCCGCGGCGTAAGGTTGCTGCGTCATCGCGCGTGAGGCCCATTTCTCTTTGTCGCCAACTTGGGCGTTCACGAGGAGACGACTGCAGAGCTGATCGGCCAACAGCTCCAGGATCCGCGGAAAAGCATGTGTTGCACAGGTAAAGGAGCAAGGGCGGCAGCGCTGATGGCGGCCTTCCTGCACACTTTGGCTGCGTACCATCGTCAGACTCATACTGTTCCCCCTCTTCCTCCTCCTCCTCCTCCTCATCCTCCTCCTCCTCCTCCTCGTTCTCCTGCCTTCTCCCTCTGCCAATCTGGATGGGGGCGGCCTTCAGCTCCGCAGCGTCACGCTCCCAGCGCGCCTCTCGCGCCGCGGCCTTACCCAGATGCATATATCAGGCTGGGGGCGGAGCCGCATTGATGTCCTGCAAGCGCTGGACACGGACCGCGTGGCCTGGCAGGCCACGCAGACCCAGGGTCCCAAAGCACACGCACAAACACACACACACACAGACACACACGCACGCACACGCACACGCACACGCACACGCACACACACACACACACACACACACGCACACGCACACGCACACGCACACGCGCACACACAAACACACACACACACCACACACACACACACACGCACGCGCACACAGACACACACGCACACACAGACACACACACACACACACGCACACACGCACACACACACACACACACCAACAACACACATATATCACAACAAATCAAACAACACACACACACACACACACTCACTCACACGCACGCACGCACGCACGCATGTACACGCAAATAAACACAACAAGCAACACAAACATCAACAATTGCACGGCGCTATTCCTCCCTTCTTCCTTCCTCCTGCTTCTATTCTTCCTCCTGCAACAAACGATCATCGGGCTGATCGGCCCAAGGAGCCAAAACACCCTGACCCACGTCCTACGTTATCTCTCCGCCCTCCTAATCCAAGAGCCGCAACTAAGTACCAAAATGTCTTTTGCCCCCCCTTCTGTGACAGAGGCGGCCCGAAGATGGACCCCCTCTGTCACAGAAGGGCTCGTTCTGCGAGATCTTCAGCCGCGGGAGCTCCCGCTACGATCGCAAACCATAGAAAGGGCGACAAATTCGATGGCGGGAGGGGGGTCGGGGAGGGGGAGGGAAAGAAAACGAAACAAGAGAGGGAGGCGATGACAGCACCGATGACAGCACTGTCTCTTTTTTCCGCCCCGCTCGGGCAGCGATCTCCGATGGCGACAGCGCGCGAACTGCAGCCGCTCTCGACGAAGCCGCCCTCCGCTGCTGCGGAGAGGCGGCCCCTGTGCCGCGGTTCATCCAAATGCTTGCCGGGGGGGCCCAGGCGTCCGCGTCCGCGACCCACGCCCACGCGGTGCTGGTCGCATTAATGCCCCCCGCTGCACTCGCTCACCTTGGCGCGTGCCGTGGCCGAGGAACGCCGTTGCGAGGTCGCGCCAGGCGGATTCGACCCTGGGGTCCGGCGCCGAAGAAGCGTCGCCGCGCTACCAAGGCCACTCGCGCTCCTCGCCCCACAAGCTGCCCCACCATTCCCGCGATTGGCCGCGCCAGTCGTTCCTGCGCCATCGCTCTCTCGGCCAATGCGCTGGTTGCTGTGAGCCCCGCTGCTGCGGGGGTTCTCGCGGATGCCCCGGCGGCGCTTCCTGCGACTGCGGTTATTGCAGCCGTGGCCCTCGCTGCTGCGGGGGCTCTAGAAAGGCCGTCGCGGCGGCCGCGCCTGCGTCTGCTCCAGCGTCGAAGGCCCTGGAGATGGTCGCTGCGCCGTCTGCCGCCGCCTCGGGGGCGATATTTCTATGCGCATATCTCGCGGCGAAGGCGATGGCGCGGGCGCCGCGCACGTCAAGGATCGGCGCGAGAGATGCCCCCGCCGCTGCTTCCACGGGGATGCCATCGGGACTCGCTGGGCCGCCGATTGGCGGTGGGATGCCTGGATGCGAAGAGTCCTTCGCCGCTGCGTCAGCAGAGCCCACGCGCGCCTCCGCTGCCGCGGGGGCGTCGTCTCCTGCGGGCCACCCGCGTCCTCGCCATCCGCCAAGCGCTGGGGCGCTCGGTAATCGGCCGCGCCGACCGCCGAACGGCGGTCGCTGGGACACGGCCATTGGGGGCACAGGCGAATCTTCGCACAAGCGCGCCGGCCAGACGGACGACGGCAACGCGCCCCGCTGCCGCGGCGTGCAACGCGCCCGAACCTGGGCATCGCGCCTTGGCGCGGCGCTGCCGGGGCTGGCCGGGGGGCTGCCTGTGGGGCTGGGGCAAGCAGCGCATGGGGCTGGCAGCGGGGCTGGTCGTGCCGCCGCCGGCCGCCGCCGCCGCCGCCGGCGGGGGGCCGGCAGCGGCGGCGGCAGCGGCAGCAGCGGCAGCCGCCGCGAAAGCAGCCGCGGCGCCGGCCGCGGCGCCGCAGGCCGGCCGCCGCCGGGGGGGAGGCCGGCGGCGGCGGCAGCGGAGGCGGTGGCGGCGGCGGCGGCGGCAGCGGCGGCGGCCGAGGCGCAGGTGGCCGCCGGGGCGGCCGAGGCGCCGCCAGCGGTGGCAGCAGCGGCGGCAGCGGCCGCCGCGAAGGCAGCCGCGACGCCGGCCGCGGCGCCGCCGGCCGCCGCCGCCGAAGAAACCAGAGGCGGCAGAGCGGAGGCGGCGGCGGCCGCGGCGGCGGCAGTGGCGGCAGGGGCGCCGCCAGCAGCCTCCAGCCGCCCAGGCGCCAGCCCCCAGGGGGAGGGCAGCGGCGGCGGCGGCGAGGCTCGCCGCCGGCTGCCGCCGCCACCGCCGGCCGCGGCCGCCCCCCGCGCGCCGGCCTCCCAGGTGGAGGCAGCGGCGGCGGCGGCGGCGGGAGCGGCCGCGGCCGCAGCAGGCGGCAGCCCGGCGCGCGCGGCGGCGGCCAGGCGCTGCCGCCGCCGCAGGGCGGCGCCCGAGGGGGGCGAGGCCATCGCGAGGCCGGCCTGGCGCGAACCTGTCCAGGGGCGGGCTCGAGCCGAGACGGCTTGAGCCAAATGCTACGGACGCTGGTGGGGATACGCGAAGCGTCAAGAATAGCTGGTGGGGATACGCGAAGCGTCAAGGATTTAATTCAAACTGATTTCTGCTGGCCTTTGTTGGATTGTCACTCGTGTTTTGTTGCGTAAATCTTTCTGCGTGGGCACTGCCTCTAGCATCTCACATGTCTGCTAGCGCCTCGAACGCAGGACAAATAACAAGGAGAGAGACGACGACGACGACGACGACGACGACGACGACGACGACGACGACGACGACGACGACGACGACGACGACGACGACGTAATCGACGACGATGACGACGAATGGCACCCTGCTCTTCCGAGCCGCCTTCGGCGATCAAGGGCAGTATCGATCGGACAGACGTAAGACTCGGGTTCGGAGGACTCGGGTTGGCCTGACGGGGCCCTCACGTAAATGATGAGACCCAGTCTGAAATTTGGCGCGAGCTCCCGCTGCAAACATCCCTAAAAAACTTGACCGCCCAAACCCGGGACGCGCTGGACAAAAAGCGTCGGCAAACCCGAGCTCCGGCGAACTCGAGTCCTACGTGTGAGCAGGGACCGACCGTCCTGGCATTCCTATAGGCCTACCACAACATGTTCTTAGAACCCCAAAATGTTCTGAATACAAAAACAATGTTCTTAGAACATCAGCCCGATGTGTCGAAACAAGACAGCCCCAGCAAGAAATGTTCTCTATTCGTGCAGACCACGAGAGCTTCTTAGAACATTGGTGGGCCTAAAATTATGTTGCTCCCATCGTACTTGAGGGCCACATCCCAGAAATAATTCCGAGCACCCGGAAAAACGTCGAAAGAGTGCCGACATAGTGTCGAAAAAGTGTCAGACGAGCGCCTCCCGGGACCCGACACGTAAAAATCTTGAGTTTCTGGCAACTTTCCTGGCGCGCGAGATTCTTTCTGGTGATCAAGGCTAAAGTAGCTTGGAACATCATAAGCCTGTAAGCGAGCCAGGACGCTGCGCCACTGCTTGCTGCGGCTCCCCAGCTCGATCCCACTTGGGCGATCCGGTCGGGGCGATCCGGCGGCCCCGCCGGGCCGAAGCCGGCGCTGCTCCGAGGCGCGCGGCCGCCTCGGCGCAGAGCCTCAGCTCCTCCCGCAGCTGCAGCACCTCCTCCAGAGGGCGGCAGCTCCTCCTCCTCCCCCTCCTCCTCCTCCTCCTCCTCCTCCAACTCCTCCTCCTCCTCTCTCCTCCTCCTCCTCCTCCTCCTCCTCCTCCTCCTCCTCCTCCTCCTCCTCCTCCTCCTCCTCCTCCTCCTCCTCCTCCTCCTCCTCCCACTTCCCCTCGCGCCCACGCGGCCCCCGCGGATGGCCCGAAGAGGCCTTCCAAGGCCACTCCCTTGCTCCCATAGATCTCTCGATCCACCCCGGTGTCTCGCTTTGTCTCCCCGGATGCGTCTCTTCGCCCCTTCTCCCGTCAGCTCTCATGGGCAGGGCTTCTGAATGAGCAACGACAAGAAAACGGTCTTACGCGAGATTCTGGCCGGGCGAAAGGGGGGGGTAGCAAAAGGGGGGGTGAGAATCAGCTCACGTAGCTGATTCTCCCAGCGCCTCCCGGCGCCGGGAGGCGCCCATGTATCGAAGAATGGGCCCGGCGGCGGGGCCGAAACCAGCTGCATGCAGCAGATTTCGTACCCCCCCCTTTCCCAATCCCCCCGTTTCGTCCCGCCCGAGAGATGTCAAAGCCACCTTACGCCGCGGCTTACGCGGCCCGCAAGCGCGGCACGCCACTCTGGAGGCGAAGGCGCCTGCGCGCGACCTTGCGCGGGCAGCTTGCGCGCCCACGGCGGTGCAGGCGGCACCGTCTGCCTGCGCCGCTCGAGCAGGGGGGCGACGCAACGTGCACCTGTCGTGCCCCTTCTGAGCCCCAGCGGGCCCCCAAAGTGCACGAGAGTTTGGCCAGGCGAACCCAGGATGAGAAGACCTGCGGACGAGGGCGAAACGGAAATCTCTGAGAGCGGGCGGGGCTGGCGGATGCACCAGGCGCCGCGGCGGTCCCGGAGCGTTCCGGGACGCTCTGGGAGCGTTCCAGAACGCTCTGCAGCGATTCATCCTCATCCCAGGCCTTGTTTTCCCCGCGCGCACACACAGGGGCGGTGCCCAAAGAAAGAAAAGGTCTGAAATCATTTTCCCGCGGTGCGCTCAGGGGAAAAAAGCCAGTCTAAAGTCTAAAGTAAGATTTCCTCTGCGCGTCACCATGTAACGAAGATGTTGCAAAATTCGGCCCGCCGATGCGAGCGAAAGCGGACGAGAAGGAGGAGGAGGAGGAGGAAGGGAGAACAAAAGGGGCAAACGCGCTGTGCTAATAAACCATGTGACCCAAAGGGCCACTTATGGATCTTCATCCTAGGCCTGCCTGGAAGGTGCAACTTTCATCACCCCCACATGCATCGCACCCCCATTTCGGCCACACGTAATGGTGATCCTAAGCAAGAATAACCTTTAGTGTGCGACTTTCAGGGGCCGCGGGAAGGCCGAACAGGAACGCGCAAGCTGCTGCTATCGCACCGCATCAAGCTATCTGGGGACCCAGTGTGCCCGCACCAAAAGTCACTCTGGCGAAATGCCACTCGCACGTATAGCCGACCATTACCAGAGGCCTCCTAGATGGGGTCCGAATACATGGGGTCGGAGGATCGCGCCGCAGCGCCAATGTATCGGCGATGCATCGCCGATGCATCGCCGACGTCGGCGACGCATCGGCGACGTCGACGTGGAGAAAATCGGGCTCCGCATCGAGCCGCATCGCCGACGCATCGGCGATGCGGCGCGATCCTCCGACCACATCTACTCTGACCCCATCTAGGGGGCCTAGAACTAGGTCGGGCGTGTACTCCTAGAGGCGGATTTGGGACGAAAGAAACCGGTAGTCCAAAAATGATATATATATATATATATATACACACACGTATTACAAAAATAGTATGGCACATCGTCCCCATACTATCTTTGAAAATTCCCCCTGTAAGGGGACATGCCCGACTTCAGCCTAGTTCTACGCAGCGCCCGGCCCCGCATGGATGGGCCCCTCGCCGACATCGGCGGCACCGGTCGGGGCTCAAGAGACGGGGGTCAGTGCAAACGGGGGTCAGCCAGGGCGCCCGATCTTGCAGGATTGAAGGGGCCCCGGGACACACAAATGAACGAACACAAATAACAGGATCCCATATATCTTCCCCCACTTCCCATAGTTTCCCATGTTTGCTGGGGAATCGACGATAAATTGTGGCTGTGTGCATTTTCCCTCCTGAATCTTACAAGATCCTGCAAGGCCACGGGGCGCACGGACCTGGGTGCCCCGGGCCTGGGTGCCGGATCCTGCAGGATCCTAGGGCTGCAGGATTCTTCGCACTGACCCGGGGCTTGGGCGCAGGATCTCGCAGGATTCTGCTGGATCCTCCTCCTCCTCCTCCTCCTCCTCCTCCTCCTCCTCCTCCTCCTCCTCTTCCTCCTCCCCAGACGTAGCCTCGGAAGGAGTTCGTCCACTCTAGCCCTCACAGGGCTCTGCTTGCTGCAAGAACTGCGATCTCGCAGCTCGAGCACATTGATGTAAAACCTCCTCGTCGATGTCATTGAACCGACGGACCGAATTGTACAAGTAAAACGCAATAATGAGCCGCTCGAGCGCTCTCAGTCTCTGGGGCTCCGTCATTTCTCGAGCGAGACCGAGGCGACGATCGAGGAACACTTCAATGGGCTCCTGGGGCCACCACACTGAGAGCACCGCCCCCCATAGGTACGGGCACGCCATGTAGTGAGCTTGCGCGTCTAGGGCATCCGTGCGTCCGAATTTGCAGCGGCAGTCGGTCTGCGTCATCCTCCGCTCCGTCGTCCACCCCCCCACCAGAGTTTTGATGACCGAACTTTGCCACGCGGGGGGGAAGCTAGCCAAGCACTCACGAAGCGCAGGCCAGCTCACCCCCGCGCGAGCCCGACGGGAAGGGGTCCGAGACGCCCACTTGGCCAGGCGCCTCCAGATGATGGGAGCAAAATCTTCTACAAAAAGAGAGCTGGCCAAGGATCTGGCAAGAGTGCGCTGCACAGGGGCACGTGGGTCAGCCCGCTGCGCCTCGTCGAGAGTTCCGAGGGCCACCGCGATCGCCGACCTCAGGGAGGCAGCCCCAGAGAACCCTCGACCCGCTGTCGCCAGCTCCTGAACACACGGAGGTGACTGCCAGTGCACAGGCGACCAGACATCAGCCAACCACATCGTCATAGGGAGGGCCGACTCAGCCACCTTCTGTAGCCTGGCCCAAAGCGGTCTCCAGTTCGTGACCGTGCACCTGGCTGTTCGAATCAACGCAGCCACCGACTGGGCCTGCATGGATAGAGGTCTCAGCTTCGACCAGTGACGCAACGCAAGCAATTGGTCCAGCGGCATCGAGAACGGCGGAAGATGCAATATCTTTTGCAATGCCCAGGACTCCCACTTAGCGATGGTTCTGGGGAGAGGACTCAACTGCGCAAGATAACTAATTTTTGACACAGCACGCGAATTGTACATGTACAAAGCCACCGACGGTGGCGCACTGGTCTCTGCTATGCCCCTCACCACCCCCACCCACTCCCGAAGCGCCCTCGCCCACGCATGTTTCGTCGCAGCAGGTCCAGACCATACTCCTAAGTATTCAGCAGCATCTACGATGGGGATCGATCGCCACCGCGGTACCAGCTTGGCCAGTCGCTCCCGAACCCTCAATTGGAGAGAGGAGGAGAAGGTCTCAGAGACGGGGACGAGGCGGCTTTTGGGGAGCTTGAGGGCGAGGCCAGCTAGGACATCCGCGGCGCACAAAAAAAGAAAAAAGAAACACAAACTGAGAGCCTGGAGAGGGCCTGCAGCTCAGCTACCGTCGCACCGATGTCATCCGCGCATACTCCTATTTCACATCCTGGATGCTGACGAAGCCTGGAACGCATGTCCCTCAGGAAGGGGTCCATCTCCAGGGCCCGCAGGGTGCCTGAGGCGGGGTCTCCTTGCATCACCCCAGACATGATCGTGCAACAAGCCCACAACTGTCCTAAAACCGCCGTCCGAGACATCGCAAATGCGCATGTGGCTTGTGCAAACTGAAGAAGTCCTGTCGGGCAGCCACAACGCTCGAGCACTGCCCAGAGGAAAGAGTGGAGGAGGGAGGGGAAGGCACTACCAAAGCCGAGGAAGAGGAGACAAGGGATACGTGAGCTGGCTTATGTGTGCATGCTGGCTATGCGTGCCGAAGTGTCGAGCAGTGTGATATTATCTAAAAAGTTTCTCTTCACTAGAAATCCGCGCTGGTCAGGGTGAGCCTGCCGCGCAATCTGCCTCTTGACCCTTTCGTTACACGCCGATGCCAAAATTTCCACATCTGAGTTCTTCAGCGCCAGGGGTCTCGTGTTCTGTGGCTCACGTAGGACAAAGGGCGCATCCTGCTCCCGTCTACCCTTGGGGGCGAAGATCCGGAGGAGATCGTTCAAAGAGGTGGGGGGGGGATACCCACTCAGCAGCACAATCATGAGCCCATGCAAGACTTCCTGCGACATCGAGCTCTGCTGCCACGCAGCATAGGGGAGTCCGTCTGGCCCAGGGGCCGTCGGTTTGGCCCGTTTGATAACACTGGCAATCGAAAAAAACTGTGGGCGGGGCCACATCCGAAAAATCGAATGGCATCACATGCTTGTCTAGATAGGTCTTGGGATGGCTTTTCGACGCAGGGCGGGGCGCAAAAACGGGGCCCCAATGGTTCCGAAGAGACTTGACCATGGCCGAGGAGGAGGTAACCACCGAACCGCCAGGAGCGAGAAGGCCCTGGAGAGGAAACGTTTTACCCTGCGGAGCCCATAGTTTCCCCCTGCGCCTCTCCGCTCGTGCGTAAGCACGCAAGCGCTTCTTCCCAGACCAGCTGGGTGAGTCTTTCGCCTGGGTCTCCGACCTGCGAACTCTGCCCTCAGAAATCTCCTGCTGCAGCGCTTCATATTTCCTACGAAAGCCCATGGGCCACGCAAGAGACACAGCCTGCTCCGACAAAATCGACAACATCTCAGATGGGAGGGGGCCAGACGCAAGCAGCGCGCGAGCTAGCTTGACGTCGTTGAAATGAACTGCGCGAGCAATGGAACGAAAAAAGAACTAGCTTCGCCTCCATCGGAGGCGTACGCATGCTCACGGGCTTGTTACGCGTCAGTCGTGCCGCCTCCCTCAGCAGCCTCTTGTACTCCGCCCACTTGGGCATCGCCTGCAGGGTGTGTATGTGCGAGCGGCTCATCAGCAGGTCTAAGAAGTACTTGAACTCTGGCTGCTTGCATATGAAGGCTGGCACGGGCTGATCCTCCTCTGGCTTCAAATCCCTGGGAGCGAAGCTAATCTGCACTGGTGAGTGATCCGATATGCCCTCAGCGAACATCTCTTCTGGCGGGTAGGTAACTGTTGCAGCAATCGACCATTGAATCAGAAGTCAAGGTGGCGTACTTAAGAAAACTCGATCCAGCTGTGTTAAGCGTTGATCATCTTTGATAAAGTGAGTGGGCAACTCTGGGTCAAGTTCTGTCATCCCCGAGAAGGCAGCCGCCCACGCAGCACCGAACTCTCTTTGACGGGGAGGGTGTGCCAGTCCTTTGTCAATCTCAGGCACATGAAGATGCATCGCCGCCGTCTCCGAGTAGTTGACGCCACCCACTGCGAGCACAGTCGTCCGGTGCGGGCTCTGTGCAGCCACAGAGGACTCCGCTGCTATCCTGGCAGCAATCGTGCCCACCTGGCCCCTGGTCAACCCGAAGTTGTGGATGTTGTATACTATGGTCATAGTGTCGGGGCGATGCTCATTCGCTCTCGCTTTGATCATGATTCGGTGGGTCCTGCCTTGGACCAGTATCTCATGTTTCATTCTACCAACTCGGATCGCCTCCTCCGCCTCCATCTGTGACATCTGAGATAAGATAATCGCTACACCTCCCGAGTCATGCTGCGGTACCGATCCCAATACCACCCGAGGAATACGATGAAGGTATCAATGATGCTTGAGCTCCTCCAGCGTTCCATGAGCTTCCTGCAAACAAATGAGCGCCTGACGCCTGCACATCAGCGCCAACGTCCTGAACTTCTTGCGCCGAACCTCTGGCCTGTGGCGAGGAAGAGCTCTGCCATTCCACGATGTGGTATGAATCTGCGTGGCTGGGAAGGCACGATAGTTCTCGTGCCATGTATCCAACGTGCTGCTAAATACTCCACTTGATTTCTTGCCCTGAATGGAAACGAAAGTTGAAAGCCGCCAGCATAGTCGTCTTGTCCACACCGTGTTGTTGGACCACGTTGTAGTTCCACCGTAGAGATGAAGGCTGATCTTTCTGCAATCCTGGCTGGATCTGCACACAATGAACCCCATCCAGGAATGCAATTCCTTTGGACCTGTCGAAGCGGTGTCGTAGTCCAGGGAAGGCGCCACGAAGGAGCTGTGCCACAAATTTCGTCTGAATATCAGTTCTGACCTGCTTCGCTGACTTATCACATCCAACAAATACTCTAGACGTTCCATTCTCGATTGTCTTCGCCTCGAAGGTTCTCCATTCACCGTCTTTCCTGAGAACCCTGCGCGCGCGTGCCGCCCGTCTGGAGGCCGCACCAACATCACCCGCGATCTGAATGACGTACCTTCGAGAAGGTGAGGGAGCCACAACTTTCCACTTGTCCGACTCGATGTTGGCCTCCTCCAACCACGGGGTAATGGCGCTCTTGAGCTCCTCCACTGCGACATTCGCCGTGGTGTTTGCACATAATACTGTGGTGTCGGGATCGCGATCCCATTCAGCCATTGAATCAAAATCTTTGATAGGTACGGTACTCTCTGCAACGTATAGAGCTTCTCTGATCTGCTTGAGCTGCTCTTTGAAATCATTCTGGGTCTGCTCCTGGACCTGCTGCCTGGCTCTGAGCTCCTCCAACTCCGAGCGAAGCTGGAAGTTCGTCTTTTCTTGCCGAGCCGCCACCGCCTTGACCAGCGCCTCAGTGTGGGACGAGACCGATGCCACGATGCCCCCCTTGAGGCCAGAGATCTGGTCAGAAATGGACTTCTGCATGTCGGACTTGAACTGGGCAAGCATCGCGGCGACGTCGGAGGGGTCTCCGTTGAAGCCGTCCAGGTCCTCCACGTCCAGCTGCTTGCCCGAGTCTCCGACGCTGCCACCAGGCGGGAGCGGAGTGGACTGGGTGCTCTGAGGGGTGGTAGGCGCAGGGGCGTCCCTTCCAGGAGCATGTTGCTGCCTTCCTCCGCCAGCAGCACCTTTGCCACGCCAGGGATCAGCATCTCCAGCCAGCGGATCGTCACCAGGATGAACAGCAGCAGCGCGACCCCGACCCGAGGCACGCAGCGGCCGGGCGGCATGCGCCTCAGCCCCCGCGGGGCGGGCAGGCGACCGCGAGGAGGAGCGCTCGCCTCTGCCGCCATCGCCGCCAGGCATCGGGGGCGGGGCCCGAGCAGGTGGAAAGCTGGGCCGAAAAGCCGTTGGAAAAGAAGATGGAAAGAACAGTGCTGCAAGCAACAGCAGGACTCGGTGTGGCCTGTCGCTCGAGGACGGGCGACGGATCGGTCAAAGCTAATCGTGATTCGGTATGTTAAGTTACCTTCACACGTTTAGCCTTGAGCCAAAATGGCTACGGACCTCCTCCTCCTCCTCCTCCTCCTCCTCCTCCTCCTCCTCCCCCTTCTCGCCTTCCCCTCCTCGGGTCGCCTACGGCCCGGGGGGAAACCGACGGGGCTTGGGTCGCAAAACCCTGCAGGATCCTGCAAGGCCCGACTGACCCGGGCTTGGCTTGACCCGGGTCAGAACATCTCCACAGACAGCTGGCGTCTCGATGTTTGCGAGACGCGGGTCCCCGACCTCCCGACCGCTTCCCCCGGACCGGTGTTTCATCCCGAGTCGTTTTTCGACGGCCCCGAGGCCCGGTAAGAGCCCCGAGAGGCCGAAAACAATGAAAAACCTCCCCAGAGATCCGAAATCGTGATTTTTTCATTGCGGGGTGCCCGGAAGGGTCGACCCATTCCTCAGCACTGGCTCTTCCTCCTAAGTCGTTCTTTGACGGTCCTGGGGCCCGGTGAGGGCCCCTATAGAGGCAGAAAATTGAAAAAAACGCCCGTCGTGATTTTTTCAATGCGTTTTCGAGACGCCCGATGCCTGGGCCGTCATCTGTCGGGGATCTTCTGACCCGGGTCAATCCAGACCCGGGTCAGCAGGAAACCAAAAACTGCAATGCAGGAAAACAAAAACTGCAATGCAGGTCTTCGCAAACCCGGGTCAGCCAATAGGCGCGGCCGCCTCGCGGCCACGAGCGGCTCGCTAACCCGGATCAGCCAGAGGGGGTCTTCGCAGGATCCTGCAGGATCCGGCGCCCTGGCTGACCCCCGTTTGCACTGACCCCCGTCTCGAGGCTCTAAGATGGGCTGTCGGCGTCCCATGACACATCACGACTGCACATGCCGAAATGGAGGATTGGCGAGCAGGATTGGAGGATTGGCGAGGATTGGCGAAAAACGTCCGTCGTGATTTTTTCAATGCGTTTTCGAGACGCCCGATGCATGGGCCGTCATCTGGCCTGCCTCGATGCTTTCGAGACGCCTGGTGCCTGGGCCCGAGCCGTGTGCGGCCTGCGCCCTCTGGTCCTCGGCCGAGCCGCCGCGGGCCCCCGCGCCCGCGCCCTCGCCGTCGGCCCCGCCGCCGCTCCTGGAGGGCGCGCCGCCCGGCCGCCCCCCCCCCCCCTCCTCCTCCCCCCCCCCCTCCCTCCTCCTCCTCCTCCTCCTCCTCCTCCTCCTCCTCCTCTCCTCCTCCTCCTCCTCCTCCTCCTCCTCCTCCTCCTCCTCCTCCTCCCTCCGCCTCCTCCTCCTCCTCCTCCTCCTCCTCCTCCTCCTCCTCCTCCTCCTCCTCCTCCTCCTCCTCCTCCTCCTCCTCCTCCTCCTCCCCTCCCTCCTCCTCCTCCTCCTTCCTCCTCCTCCTCCTCCTCCTCCCTCCTCCTCCTCCTCCTCCTCTCCTCCTCTCCTCCCCTCCTCCTCCTCCTCCTCCTCCTCCTCCTCCTCCTCCTCCTCCTCCCCCTCCTCCTCCTCCTCCTCCTCCCCCTCCTCCTCCTCCTCCTCCTCCCTCCTCCTCCTCCTCCTCCTCCTCCTCCTCCTCCTCCTCCTCCTCCTCCTCCTCCTCCTCCTCCTCCTCCTCCCTCCTCCTCCTCCTCCTCCTCCTCCTCCTCCTCCTCCTCCTCCTCCTCCTCCTCCTCCTCCTCCTCCTCCTCCTCCTCCTTCCGCCCCCGCCCCGTTCCCAGACCCCCGACGTCACGGGGATTCTGACCGAAAATATGAAATAATCAAACAATACTCCCAAATGGTTTAAATAGTCCAGAAATGGTCCCCGAACTATTCTTTGGACTATTTTACCTAACAGCTCTTGCTGATAGGTTTCTAGTGGTGTCGAAAGAAAGCATCTTGACGCCCCAGGGGGGTCTGGGCGGGACCCGGACAAGGGATCCGGCAGGATCCGGCAGCCCCAGAACACCATTCCCTTAGGAATCTTTAGGAATCCTTAGGAATCTTTAGGAATTCTTAGCAATCCTTAGGAATCCATTCCCAGAACACCATTCCCAGGCCACATTTTGAATGCCCGGAACCAACTGTAAGCCACTTCGTGTTCTTCGTGTTCCCAGAACACCATTCCCAGGCCACATTTTGAATGCCCGGAGCCAACTGTAGGCCACTTCGTGTTCTTCGTGTTCCCAGAACACAATTCCCAACATTTTGAATGCCCAGAGCCAACTGTAGGCCACTTCGTGTTCTTCGTTCTTCCCAGAACACCATTCCCAGGCCACATTTTGAATGACCGCCAAGGTAGGCCACTTCGTGTTCTTCGTGTTCCCAGAACACAATTCCCAGGCCACATTTTGAATGCCCGGAGCCAACTGTAGGCCACTTCGTGTTCTTCGTGTTCCCGGAACAGCTTTCCTGAGGCAGGCTGAGGCTGAGGCAGGCTGAGACTGAGGCTGAGGCAGGCTGAGGCTGCGGCTGAGGCTGATGCAGGCTGAGGCTGATGCAGGCTGAGGCTGAGAGGCTGAGGCTGAGGCTGAGGCAGGCTGAGGCTGAGGCTGAGGCTGAGGCAGGCTGAGGCTGAGGCCGAGGCAAGCCGAGGCAGGCTGAGGCTGAGGCTGAGGCTGATGCTGAGGCAGGCTGAGGCTGAGACAGGCTGAGGCTGAGGCTGAGGCAGGCTGAGGCTGAGGCAGGCTGAGGCTGAGGCCGAGGCAGGCTCAGGAGGCTGAGGCAGGCAGAGGCTGAGGCAGGCTGAGGCTGAGGCTGAGGCAGGCTGAGGCTGATGCAGGCTGAGGCTGAGAGGCTGAGGCTGAGGCAGGCTGAGGCAGGCTGAGGCTGAGGCTAAGGCCGAGGCAGGCTGAGGCTGAGGCTGAGGCTGAAGCTGAGGCAGGCTGAGGCTGAGGCTGAGGCAGTGGCTGAGGCCGAGGCAAACTGCGGCTGAGGCAGGCTGAGGCTGAGGCTGAGGCAGGCTGAGGCTGAGGCAGGCTGAGGCTGAGGCTTAGGCTGAGGCTGAGGCAGTGGCTGAGGCCGAGGCTGAGGCAGGCTGAGGCTGAGAGGCTGACGCTGAGGCTGAGGCAGGCTGAGGCTGAGGCTGTGGCCGAGGCAGGCTGAGGCTGAGGCTGAGGCAAGCCGAGGCTGAGGCTGAGGCTGAGGCTGAGGCAGGCTGAGGCTGAGGCTGAGGCTGAGGCTGTGGCTGAGGCTGAAGCTGCGGCTGAGGCAGGCTGAGGCTGAGGCTGAGGCTGAGGCTGAGCTGAGGCAGGCTGAGGCTGAGGCTGAGGCCGAGGCAGGCTGAGGCTGAGGCCGAGGCAAGCCGAGGCAGGCTGAGGCCGAGGCTGAGGCTGATGCTGAGGCAGGCTGAGGCTGTGGCTGAGGCTGAGGCTGAGGCTGAGGCAGGCTGAGGCTGCGGCAGGCTGAGGCTGAGGCAGGCTGAGGCTGAGGCCGAGGCAGGCGAATCCTTCGGAATCCTTAGGATTCCCTAGGAATCCTTAGGGATCCCTAGGAATCCCTAGGAATCAGGATTCCTAAGGATTCCTAAGGTTTCCTAAGGATTCCTATGGATTCCTAAGGATCCCTAAGGATGCCTTAGGAATCCCTAGGAATCCTTAGGATTCCATCGGATCCTAAGGCCGTTGCCACTGCGACTGTCATTGCGAATGCGACTGCGACTGCGAGAACAGCAGAATTCTACAAGTGGATTCTCACTTGAATCTTAAGGGGAATGCTTCCAGATATGCTTATACACATCGCTGTTAGGTTGCTTTGCCGGGATACTTTGAATATCCCTCCTGTAAAGGGACGTGCCCGACCTAAGTGCAGTGGCATCGGTACTTCTCCTCCTCTGAGTGTCTGGGGCCCGCTTCGCCACAGGCCGAGCCCGCCAGGCGAGCTCGGCAGCGAGGCCCGCGGGCCCAGCCGCCCGTGCGGGCGGACGCGCGCGAGCGCGAGCGCCCGCGCCTGGAACGAGCCGCCTGGAGCTGCTCCTCGAGGCTGCCCAGGAGCACGGTTCGCTCCTGGCGCGGGGGGCAGCTTTCTCCGTCCTCCTCCTCCTTCCTCCTCCTCCGTTATCCTCTTCCGTCCTCCTCCTCCTCCTCCTCCTCCTCCTCCTCCTCCTCCTCCTCCTCCTCCTCCTCCGTCCTCCTCCTCCGTCCTCCTCCTCCTCCTCCTCCTCCTCCTCCTCCTCCTCCTCCTCCTCCTCCTCGTGCCGAACCTGCCCCCCCCCTTCCTTGCCTGCACAGCTGCGTGAGGCGCATGAGAAGCATGCGCTGTCAGGGCGCACGAGCCTCGGAGGGGCACGTTGACGTTTATGAGCGGGGCCGGCCAGTGAAAGTCGCCGAGTATGGGCCGCACGGGGCAGGGATGCAAGGGTAGCCATTGGGCAGCTGCTCTCATCCCTACTCTGCGACTTGACTCTGGGCCCTGGCCCTGGCCTGGAATTCTGTGCTGGGCCAACCAGCCGATGGGTGACGTGGTGCTATCGCTCGGCAAGCGTCGCACTCTCGGGTGCAAGCACACGGGCCTCCCACCTCGACCGCTCCGGCGTCGCATCAAGGAGGTCTCCTGGGCCCCTGGGCTCCTGCTCCCCCTGCCGCCCCCCCCCCCTTGGAGTCCGATTGGAGAGTGTGGCGGGGGAGGCCAGCCCGGGGGGGGCTTTCCCTATCCGTCTCTACGACCCCCCAAATTGCACATAGACTTCGGACCGCCTGCTGGTCCAGGTGCCGTACTGCGGCAACGACCCGGAAGGCGAGGCGAGGCGAGGCGTTGCACTCTTTCTGTCGCGGCGCCGGCGATCGCTCAGCGCGAAGGGGCCCGAGTCGGGCCGCGAAGCGGCACCTCAACACCGAGGAGGCTCGAGGGAGGGCGAGGACGGCCGGGGAGAGGGGGCCGTGGGCGGGCGGGGGGCGTTCACCGGCGTGTGGTCCATCACGTCAGGCGTGGCTGCCCAGGCTCTGACCAATGCACGGGTGGCGCAGTATGACTTCGTGTTCCGCGCTGCTCGGCCAGCTGCGCCGCGGCCGCAGTCATGAGGCCAACGCATTGGTCTCGGCCGCCGTCGCGAGACCGCGCAGCTCGCCCGACAATCCTCCTCCTCTTCCTGTCCCTCCTCCGCCATCCACCTCCCTCCTCCCCCCTCCCTCCTCCCCCTTCTTGCATGCATCTTCCCACCCTTCACACTCCCTCCCTCCCTCCCTCCGTCCCTGCCTCCCTGCCTCCCTCCCTCCCTCCTTCCTCCCCCTCCTTTTTTCCCCGTCCTGAATCCTTCTCCCCTCCTGCGCCCTCCCCTCATCCTGCCTCCCTATCCTCTTATCCGTTCTATCCCCCACACGCGACTTGCCTTTTCCGACAAAACCTGCTCGACAACGCAATCCTGCAAGAGGTCGGAACTTAGAGAGGACCAAGTTTGCAAGACGGCCTCTCGAAAATTCGGCAGGCTCTCGTGCTGGGGGGGGGATAAAAGGGGGGAGGAGGTGGAGGAGAGAGGAGGGAATATGTGGAAGGAAGAAGCGGGGAGGAGGATGCAGGATGGAGAGGGGGAGGAGGAGGACGAGGACGAAGAGGATGAGGATTTTTGACCAGGACGGCTTCGAGAACAATTACAAAAGGGACCAAGGATCCGTTTCCACTAGGACCCCTGAGCGCTTGGGATGTCTGCCCTTGCAGACCAACTTCCAGTTGTCCAGGGTGTGTCGGGTTCGCCTAGAACATTCCACGGCCAAGCCTCGAATCTGTCCGTGGCTGGAATAACTCTTGCACTTCAAACACACTGTGAGCATCGCACCGTCACTGCACAAAAGCGAGATGCACACGTGCTGCAGAGGCTTGAGCGAGGAGGCCGTCAGGCAGCGTACATCCGTACACTGCCCAGGGAGCGGCTCTTGCTGTCCTCAGCTCACTCGAGTACAGTTAGGAAGAACACCTCGCAGCTTCTCCCACACATGGCCAGGCGGAGCAGGGGCAAGAGGAGCTTGCTCGGGCCGAGGAGGGCGGACAAGCTGGACCAAACATTTGGCAACGGCCTATAAAGGGCGAACTCAAAAAATTCAAAAATCATGTCAACCCAGCAATTCAAGCCCCGGCGCGTTCCTCCACCTCGCGGGCATCGTGCCCTTTCACGTATATCCAGGACCCCAGATAAATTGCATGTGTCATGCAGGTGCCGCTGGGTTCGCGCACTGCTTTCTTCGCGGCGGCGCTGGTGGACAGGCGGCCCAAGGCCCCCCGCGCGTTCGCGCTGTGTCCGTGGCCACCATTGTCGAACATGGCGCGCAAGATGGACGCGTCGACGCAATCGACTGGCAAGGTCTGGCGCAGCGCACCGCCGGGGATAATCAATATGCGCCAGATGTCGTCGAGAAAGCGCCCATGCCGACGAGGCGCGAGTTAACCGCGATTGAATTCGCCGCCGCCATCGCCGACGGCGCCCGCGAGTCCTCGATCCATTCGATGACGGGGGGGCGGAAAGGTTCCAGGAAGAGCCCTCGCTGGCTGCTGTCCCCAATGTGTCCTCCGCTGCCTGGGCGGAGACCGATCATTCTATCGCGTGCGTCGCCGCGCGTGAACGCGCGCTCGCGATGTCGCGATTGCGCGTCCTCGACGCGAGGGCCGTCTGCGCGGACGCGGCGGGCGGCGCGAAGCCGGTCAGCACGCCCAATGCCGAACGCATCCCCCCGCGGCCCGTGACCGAGCGCGGGGCGCGGGACTTGCGCAGCTCGTGGATGGCGACGCAGGCGAGCATCGCGGGCGCCCCCCGTCGCGCGCACGCGCCTCCGCGCGCCCAGGCCGGCGACGAGCGCGCGCTGCCAGGGCGCGCCAATCCACTTCTCAGATAGGGCCACCAGAGGGGACAGAAGACGCGCGACGTTCGCAGGCAGCTGTCCTGATCGCGGACTGCTTCGCCGCTACCATTTTGATCCATGGCCGCGGTCAGGCGTATGAGCGCGTAGGTAATGTCTCGGAATCTCGCGCGCGCGCGAGCAGACGGGTGAACGCGATGCGGAAAGAGCGGCAATGCTCGCCATCGGCGTCAATGCGGCGATGACAAGGTCGGTGTGGTCGACGGCGGCCTTCGTCATCAACGTGGCGACCGCGATTTTGCGTGCGTCATAGTCCGAGTCCAGATCGACGGGAAAGCCGCGTGCGTTGGTAGTCTGATGGTGCGCGGCCAAATCCACCGCGGGGGAGCCAAGGTCGGCCGAGGCACTTGGGACGCAGCACCATCGCTGCACTTCAGATACACCGGCGGTGCTGGTTGGCCCACAGTCGCTTGCATATGGCGTCTAATCCCTCAACCACCGCGAAGAAAGTGTCAGAGGTTGGGTCCTCTCCACGGTCGCCGACGACGGTGGTGTCGTTGTCGTCGCGGTTGCATAGCTGCTCGGTGACGTGTGCGCTTTCGATGCAGAGGGCGTCGATGAAATGGTCAGTTTTTGGTTGTGCGCTTGAAAACTAAGCACTTTCGTCCTTGTGGTCGAAGTCCCGCTCCAGCTCGGAATCGTGCGAGTTCAGCAACTCTGAATGGCCCGCGAGACTGCCACGCGTCTGCTAGCACTTCGTTTAAACCGTAATTCCATGCGGCTGCCATGCCATGCGTCGGGCTCAGCTGCCATGCGTCGGTCGAGAATGGGTTATGATCGCTGACGGAATAGATCTTGTCGTAGACCTTATGCCGCTATGATCCGCTTCGGTTGTTTTCTCGTGTCTGGTGCAGTGAGGTCAGGCAGCGCGTCGGACTACATGTGAAGCGAAGACGGCGTGTCTGCCAAGCTGCTCATATTGCAACACGCGAAGCTTATGTCGGTACTGTTGAACAAAACAACGCAAGCCATGCGTGAAGTATTGCCGTTTGTATCAAGTGTTTCGGCCTTCTGCTAAGTAGGCCCAGGTCCAACGTGGTGTATCACCTGTCGATGCCGATGTGTTTGATGGGCGGCCGACCTTCATATGCATAAGTAGAGGGGCACGGTTTCTGTTTGGAGTCCCGAAGCGGTGCGGTGACAGACCGTGCGCTGACCTCAAATCTTCCCAAGACCTCACAGCACGATCCGTCAACGCACGGTTTTGGAACCTCGGATGCCCCAGTCGCCCGAGACGTCCTCGGAGAACGACCCGAGTCCCAAAACAGTGCGGTGACCCCGAATCCCCACCGACTCACCACACGGTGTGGTCACCACCCCGTTTGGGGGGCCCCGATTCTGATGCGGCAGTACTCGTGATCGCCGATGAGATATCCAACACAATTTGATTGTATTACTGATAGGGTGCGGCCTTGGTCGGTCCAACCCAATGATATATGCGACGCTGTGAACCTCCATTTGCAAACAACGTGGGTCCTGTGTCCGGAAGAAGGGGTCCGTCATGTATGAGCGTTCCAACCGTTGTGTCTGAAACTGCCTGCATGGGCCAGGTGTGGTCGCCTGATCGAAAGGTTCAGTGACGTCGGCCAACTCCTTGGCTGAGATCGCCGGAGAGTGATGGTGTCGTCCTTGACGGGCGTACTTCGAGCTCCGAAATCATATGCTGCCACAACTTCTTGCACATGTGTCCGTGTACATCGCCTGAAAGGTGGGACTGGAACAACATAGCCAAATTACCGATCGTACTCGAAAGTGACCTCGTACTATGTCGACGGATCCTCCGCGACCTTGTAGAACTGGAGGTGGGGACGCGGTTCGAACTATATGGCATGACTGAAACCGTCATCGTGATACAGCAATAAAGCATCCATAAGCTGGCGTGCTCCACAGTGATCGTCCCCATCCCCAGTGGATGCAGTGATGGTATTTGGCATGTTCTCAAAGATGTGGTAGCCCAGCGATCTGTCGTTTGTGCGTCCCAGAAAACGTATGCCGTACTGTTCGCGAAATTCATGACCACTGGCGGAGGTTCGTCCAGGGTGGCCGTTGATTGAGAACCGGTTCCAGCCGATGAGCCTGGCAACTTCGTTCGGGATGATGCGGAGCGGTTGCATGTTGTCTGCTGCGCTGCCCTTGCCGCCCATGGCCGAACCTCGCCTTCGGCGCACTCGGAGCGTTCGGCCGAAATGAGAGGACACCATCGCAACGGAATACGTGGGGAAGCGGGCTGGGGCGGGGAGGCCGCTGCGTACGACGGGTTCTAGCCGACGCGACCTTGGGCCAGCTGTTCGCCCCGGACCCGTTTCTGGTGTCCCCGGGGCCCGATGTGCGAGGGCCCGGGGGGCTGAAGTCGAGGAAAAGCGCCAAGGATTGCAACAAATTCACTCCGCGCCCCAGGATGTCCCAACCCCCCGCCCGCTCTGGGTCTGGAGGGGGCTCTTCGCGAGGGGGTGGAGCGTTCAAGGTGGCCCAAGATGGTCCCAGAGAGCCTAAGATGGCCTCCGAGATCGCTCCAGATGTCCCCACATGGTTCGATGTAGCTTCCACGACGCCTCCAAGAGGGCCCAAGACCCCTCCAAGGTGGCTACAAGTGCCCGCCGAGCCTCCCAAGGAGGCCCCCAGGACCAGCTTTTCGCCCTGGATCCGAGTCTGATGCCCCGGGGGCCCGACGGACGCGGGCCCCAGGGGCCGAAGTCGAGGAGAAGCGCCTGGGATTGCAACAAGACCATACCGTCGGAGATCTGCGGGGGGGGGGGGGGGACAGCGGGCCCCAAAGGGGCGTGGCGGGGCGGCGGGAGTGGCGGGTGGAGAAACCAAACGGCACCCAAAACAGCGTTTTTCTTTTTCATGCTGTTTTTGTTGTACCTCGTTTTGTCGTCAATCCACCTTTGCTGCACAACGAATTCGAAATGAAAACGGCCCACGAAATCGCCTACACACTGTTTAGGTCGATCCCCAGATCCCGCCGTGGCGACGAGAGCTCTCCAGGACGAACAGCGGTGTCGGCAACTCTTTCGCATGCACGCAAGAGTGACCCTAATTAGGCAAGAGCCACCCTTGGTGCGCAGCGATTGGGTGGCGCGGGGAGCCAGACCCAAGCGCGCAAGCCGCTGCTTTCGCATCGCATTTGGGGTCGGGGAGCCCCAGTGGGCCCGCACCAAAGGTCACTCCAGCGAAGGGTCACTCTTGCGTGTAGCCGACTCGTCCTCCTCCTCGGAGCAGCCCAGCGGTGGCCCCGCAAGGGCGGCGCGGGGCGGCGGAGGGAGGGGGAGCCCAGAATCAGATCGACAAGTCGGACGTGCGATCGAGATCAGTCTCATCCTTGGAAATCGGCAACCAAGTCGGGAGACGTCGAATCGGCGGACATCGGCAGGGTAGATAGCAAGGCCCAAGGCCTCCACTGCGAAACCGAACAACCCACCTCGGAATCCTGGGGGGCAACGGCAGGGGGGACTGGCATACATAGGGGAGGAGGGGGAGGAGGAGGAGGAGGAGGAGGAGGAGGAGGAGGAGGAGGAGGAGGAGGAGGAGGAGGAGGAGGAGGGGAGGAGGAGGAGGAGGAGGAGGAGGGAGGAGGAGGAGGAGGAGGAGAGAAACATCGACCTGGAATCGACGATGCGTCGCCGATAGATCGGCGACGGGCCCTCGACAGCACATCCGCACGTCCCTGGGCAGGTTGGGCCTGTCGGGCCCCTATCGGCGAGGCATGGGCCACTGGGGGCCGATGCGTCCCCCCCTCTGCCCATCCCCCCCTATTGATGGGCTTGTTTTCCACCACCACCACTAGAAGTAGAAGGGGGAGGGGTTCCTTCTCCTCCTCCTCCTCCACCTCCTCCTTCTCCTTCTCCTCCTCCTCATCATCCCCCTCCTCCCCCCTCCAACTTATGGCGGTGGTGGTGGTGGAAAACAGGCCCATCACCGATCGTTGCCCCCGAAGCCCGGAGTCGCATCGACTCAGAATCGGGATCGATCGAGCCCGACTCGGAGTCGGCTCGGGGTCGAGCCGAGATGGGCCCTGGCACCCGGGGAGGGTTAGGTCGGGCATGTCCTCCTACAGGCGGATGTGGGGCGATGGTTTTTGTACTGTGTCTCTCTCGCTCTCTCTCTCTCTCTCTCTCTCTCTCTATATATACACTGTTTTTTTTGTAAAAATACATACATATTCAAAGAATAATAAAAAATCGTTACCAGACCATTCTCTAAACTATTTTTGAATAATCCCCCTGTAGAGGGACAGGCCCGACTTAAAGGGGAGGGCCGGCCCGCCTCCTCCAGCGCGGCGGCCTCCCGCTGCAACGCGGCGTTGGCGTCCTGGCCCCGCGGCACCCCCCGGGCCGTGGGCGCATCCGCGGCCGAGCGGGTCAGGCTCGGGGTGCGATAGGTGATGGGCCTGTTTCCCACCACCAGCACCATCATGAAGGGGCCCAGGGACACACGCATAAATACACCCGGATTCTCCATATTTTCCCATCGGTTCTTGTCTCCCCTCCCCACTTCCCATCGTTTCCCATATTTTCTGGGAATCGAGGATTAGTTGTGGCTGTGATTTTTCCCTCCTTGCACAGAAGTCGGGGGGGGAAGGAGGTGGAGGACGAGCAGGAAGAAGAAGAGGAGGAAAAGGAGGAGGAGGACCCCTCCCCCTCCTGCTCATGGAGGTGGTGGAAACCAAACCCATCGATAGGGGCGCGGGCGGGAGCATCGAGGGGCCCAAGAGGGCCGCTGGCAGCCGAGTGGGCCGCCGCCGGCCGCTGATTGGGACCGCCAATGGAGGCCCTCGGCTGCATTCCGACTACCTACCAGACCACCCCAACCGAACCAGAAGACCCAAGTTTCGGGTTTGGGGTGGGTACGGGTTCTACATGTTTCTTCAATGTTCCCCGACCCCCCCACCGGAAATGGAGGGCAAATTGAAACCTTCGGGTTGGGTTGGGTGGCTTGGTGGGTGGTGACAGCACCGACCCCAGCGCCTACGCTGGTACCAACGCTGGCGCCTACGTCAGCTCCGACGCCAGCACCAACGTCCGCGCCTCCGCTGGCACCAACACCAGCGCCTGCACCAACACCGACGCCAACACCAACGCCTGCGCTGGCTGGCACCAGCGCTGGCGCCTGCACCAGCACCGACGCCAGCACCGACGACAGCAGCGACACCATCTCCGACGCTGGCGCTTACGCGGGCACCAACGCCTGGCACACCGAGCATAATCTTCCTGATCAGCAGCTCAGTAGCCACCAGCACGACTGCGGCACCCACGAGCGGGCCGAGGCTGCACAGCACGACGGCGCGCAGCTGCTGCAGCGTGCCCCTGTCCAGCAACTCGGGGACCAACATCACGACTATGACACTCATGAGCGGGCCCAGGCAACGGACGAGCGCGATGTAACGGGACAGCTCGACAGCGACCTGCATCAAGCCGGCGGGCAGCACGACGGGGAGTTGCAGCACACTTTTGACGTGCACGATTGGGAGGAGGAGGAGGAGGGCAGGCAGCATGCCCCCGAGCAGCACTCCGAGCATCTGCAGCACGCCCCACGACCGGATCCACACAAGGCCCGTGAGCCTCGCGATCAGGGCCCGGGCGCTCAGCATCGCTCCGGCGCCGCTGCCACTTGCGGAGTTCCCCAGCCAACTCTGCGGGTGCCCGGGGTACGACGTCCAGCCCCATCAGCAGCCCCACCGTCTACACTCCTCGCCTGCGTCTTCCTCGAGTTCCAGGTGTTGCCGATGGCGGGCTGAACTCGGTGCATCGGGCTCTCTGCAGCCTGCCGCCGCTGCTCGTGTCCGTTCCGGCATGGGGCGTGCCCTGGCTTGGCAGCACGTTGCTCGCGCATTTAGTGCACAATCTCGTAGGCCACTCATTGTCGGCACCGTGGCATGCGCCAGCAGTGCTCCTCGCCGCGTGCGTGGCCTCGATCCCCTTGGACGGGCTTTGCCTCGGGGCCGCGATCCTTGGCGGCCCTGGCCAGCGCTGCTTGGCCTGCTTGTGCTCCGTGGGCATGGTCGCCGAGTTTCACGTCAGCAGGCCGTTATGCGAGCTCCTCGCGCTGGCCGCGACGATCAGTCTCAGTCCGGCCACGCATGCGTTTCGCCTCGGGCGGCCACGCGGTCCTGATCATCAGGGCCCTCATTGCCCCGGCCTTCCCGGCAGGCTCAGGGGGCGGAGGAATGCGCGGCACGTGCACCAGGGTCTCAGATGAACAGATGAACGTGCACCAGGGTCTGAAGGAGCCGGCAGGAGCGCGACCGCCCCACCTCGCCTCGACGAGTGGCGCCGCCAGCTCCGCCGCCTGGGACGGCAAGTTCATCGAGCGCGGGCCCCGCGCAGATGGAGGCGGAGGCCGCGGTGTCGGTCGGGAACACCTTCGTGGAGGTCGGCGCCCGCGCTTCTCTGGGACGCCGCGCGCCCATGCGCGACCGCGCGAAAGGCGACGAGCCCGGCGACGACCCCCTCCTCCACGAGCGAATCAACTGCATGCGCCTGGACGACTCGCGAGACATGGACCAGGATGCGGGAGCGCCGCTGGCCGAGCAACGTCGGCGAGCAGCGCTGGAAAGAGCTGCTCACGCGGGCGCCCGGCAGCCTCCGGCCACGCCGGCAGAAGCCGGGGGGGGCCGGAAGGCTGCGGAGCCAGCCGGTGCTGACGCGCAGCCGCTGGCCGCGGGGCCGCCGCCGCCAGCCCCGCCGCGCCCCGCCCTGCAGCCCGACGGCGGCCCCGCGTCTTCTGCCTGGCGCTCGGTTGCCCGCGCGCGGATCCTGCCGCCTCGCCAGGGTGGTCCAACCAGGAGAGCATGAGGGCCCACTTGAACGAGCACGCGGCGGGCCGCTATCCCAACCTGCCGCCTGTCCCGCGTAAATATCTTGACCAGCACGCCCTCGGCCAATGCTCGTTGCGTCAGCGGTTCCTGAGTCTCCGCTTCCAGGGGGCGCGCCCCAAGTGCCGGCCAGCGGCGCGCGCGGCTGCCGCCGCGGCCCCCCGGCCCCCCAGGCCGACGCTGGCGACGCGGCCGACCAGCCAGGGCCCCCTTCGCTGCGGGCCGTCTTCCAGCCGCGCTGGCACGAGGCGCCACGCGCCCAAGGGGGCCAGGGCGTTGTGGGCGCAGCGCTCGGTGCAGGCCGCGGCGTTGGCGGCCCACCGCAACACCGAAGCAACTTCGGCCCAACTTTCCACGCCGCCCAAGTGCGCGCTGCGCCCGCGCAGCCGCGGAGGCCGAGGCAGCCGGAACGCAAGTGAGCAGGAAGCCTCTGCCCCCGCTGGCTTGAGGAAGAGCGCCAGACGCCCTGGGCGGATACAACAGAGCGGCGCCAAACGGGGGGGGCGGACAAGGCGACTCACCGAGCACAGCGCTGCATCGACTTGGCCTCGGAAGGGGCTCTGCTCGAAAAGCTGCGCTTCGCTGACGTCGGAGCCGCCCGTGTCCGCCACGCCGGCCGTCGTGGACCAGATGGGCCGCAGACACCCCCGCAGCCAGCAAACGGTTGTGGACCCGGCTAGCCTGCCTGCTGTCCGCGCGGCCGCCGCAGCCCAGGTCGACGTCTCTGTCGTCCAAAACGAAGTGCGGGCCTTCCCCAAGGGCTCGGCCGCGGGCCCCGCTGGCCTGCGCCCGCAACGCCTGCAGGACGCCCTGGCGACGGCAGCCCACAAGGGCGAGGTCGTCGAGCAGCTCGCTGGTCTCGTCAACGTGCTCGCGCGCGGCCAGGCCCCGGCGGCGGTCGCGGCTTACTTCGCTGGTGCTTCGCTAGTGGCTCTCCCGAAGAAAAACGGCGGACCCCGCCCGGTGGCCGTCGGCGAGACACTCCGCCGCCTGGTGGGCAAGTGCCTTTGCAAGGAGGTCGCCGAGGCCGCCCGCGACCGCCTGGCGCCCCTCCAGGTCGGCGTCGCTGTCCCGGGAGACGCGGAGGCGGCGACCCACGCGAACAGGCAGCTCCCCGCGCGCAACCAGGGCGACAGAGACAAAGTCTCCGTGAAGCTGGACCTCTCAAACGCTTTCAACACCCTGGACCGGAGGGCCATCCTCAAGGCAGCGCACGAGGACTTAATTCCCGCGCTGGCACCTCGGGCGGACTGGTGCTACGGAAGCCCCTCGCTACTCTTCCTCGGCAAACAGACGCTGCGCTCCGAGTGCGGCGTCCAGCAGGGCGACCCGCTTGGCCCGCTGCTCTTGTTCCCTGGCACCCCAACGCTGCGCCGAGACGGCGGGCCGTAGCCGCAGGGAGCTCGCGCAGGACGCGAGCCTGGACCCTGTATTCTTTTATTTGGATGACGGCTGCGTGGCGGGCGACAGACAGGCCGCGTCTCGCTTCCTGCACCTCGTCGTGGCCGAGCTCGCAGCAGTCGGCCTCAACCTCAGCACGTGGCCGGGCACGTGCGAGATTGTCCCTGCGGCGGGGGGCAGCAGCGCGTCCGCGGCGGATTTCCCACCGGGCTCCCGACTGCGGTCCGAGGCTGCTTTGACCTCCTCAGCGCGCCCATCGGGGGCGACAATTTCTACCGCCAGCGCGCGCAGGTACGAGTCAAGAAGGCAGCGGAGCTCCTGGGCGCACTGGCCGGCTTGGAGGACGCGCAGGTGGCTCTCCACCTTCTCCGGCAGTGTGCCTCCTACTGCAAGCTCGGCTACTCGGCGCGCGTGGTGCCGCCCTCCGCACGCACCGAGGCCCTCTTGGAGATGGATGCCGCCGTGCGCTCCTGCCTGGAACAGCTGGCCTGCGCCTCCCTCGCCGACGACTCCTGGGCCCAAGCGCAGCTGAAACTGAACAAGGGCGGCCTGGGGCTGCGCTCCGCCGAGAAGCACTCGCCGGCGGCCTACCTCTCCTCGCGCGCCAAGAGCAGCGAACTCTGCCGGTCCATGTACGCGGGCTACGCGGACGACAGCGCGGGCGACGCCGGGGCTTTGACCGCGGCGCTCCAGACCCACAACGCCAGCGTGACCGAGGCAGCCCGCGCCCCGCGCTCCGACTGGGAGAAGCACGCCAGCCAGAAGACTCTCTCGGACCAGATCGACGACGCCGCGTGCGCCGCCCTCTGGAGCCGCTCCACGCCCGCGACGCGCGTTCACCTCGCCCTGGTGGCCTCACCCGGCGCCAGTGCGCACCTACAGGCGCCCCCCATCGAGGCGCTCGGCACAGCGGCCCCGCACGGCCCGATGCAGATCGGGATAGAGCGACCGGTCCGGGTCCAGCTGATGGACGAGGAGGTATTCTACCCGGCGTGCGGAGAAGTCATGGACGTGCACTGCGACCACGCCTTGACGGGCGCCTGCCAGGGCGACCGCACGCGCCGCCACAACAAGCTGCGGAATGGCACATTTTTTG